TCAAAACCGGTCAATAGATAAAGTCCAGAATCTGGGAAATGAAAGAAGGTAAATATGCAAAGACTCTCGCCAAAACTCTGGTCACAGCAATTTTTCTTAATTTCTGCTGGCGAAACTTCAAAACTAGTGGAAGGTGTTGTTCACCTAAAAACCAAATGTGAACCGTGAAGTGATAAACGAGGAGCGATATTTGCGATAAACACCGGCTCCTGATAATTCAAATTTCCCAAAACATCCGCAATCGCTCTATTTAATCCATTTCAAATACCCCTAGAAACAGCGCTATTTCCTAAACAAATGCAGTCTATTTGTAATAACTCTTTATAAAATAATTGAGATACCACGCGCGTATGGCGCGTTTTCAGGGTCAAAATTAAAAACTAACTTTTCCACCTTTCCTTACCTGCTAAGTAAAATNATTTGTAATAACTCTTTATAAAATAATTGAGATACCACGCGCGCTCTGATTAGTCACAAACGTATTGTTTATTTTACAGTGTTTAACATATGGTTCCCGATATTGCAGCACTATACACGTGAAAATTAAGCTCGGTCCTCACTAGAGATGCAAGCATAAACATAAAATAAGCTTATTCGCTAGTGGGGACGGCCGCGACAAAAGCATAAGCAGAATATTAAAACCTTGCGTTCTTCTTATGTTTATGTTTATGCCTATGACGTTATTGGGTCCAGTGAGGACATGTTGGCATAAGCATAAGCATACAGAGCATAAGCCTAAGCGAAAGACTATGAGCCAATCAGCGTGCACTTTAAGCTTATATCAACGCTGAGCATAAGCATAAGCAAAAGAAGAGAGCTTATGCTCATGCTTATGCTTATGTCGCGGCTGTCCTCACTAGTGCATTAAGCTTCTTATGCTTATGTTTATGCTTGCGTGGGTTTACCGCACTAGTAACTGGTCCATATAGAAAGAGCAGTCGGCAACCGAGATTAATTAACTCTTAGCTTTCTCACAATGTCGTGTTACGGAATAAGTTGGTGTATAAAGTTATGTATGATTGGTCATGCTCTTTGCTTATCAGTCGCTTACGGCAAAATAGTATTGTAATGACTAACAATTCGTCCCTCGTTTCTATACACGCTAATTTTGAGATGGTACGCAATCCAAAGAAGCCGCCTGGTGCCACACAGGCAAGTTCTGCTCATACCGACTAGCGTGCCTAGTATGCGTGTCAGGAATAACCACATCATGCAAAATGATAGGATAGTATAGAGCGATATTAAAAGAGATAAGAAACTTTACTGTGGGCTTTGATGGGCTGACATTGTTTGAAAACGTGGCCGTTGTTGATTTTGGATTCAGTCCCACCACATCCACTGCCGCTTGGACACTTCCCATGCTTTAATCGTTGTTTGTTGTTCTGATTCGACAGCTGATTCTTGTAGGAAGGGAAGAACGCCGATATACACTGTGATCGTGTTGCCTGAACTAGCGAGAGTTTACGGTGTATCTACTAACTGTGTGCCTGAGTCAGAACAGTGATCAGGTGCTGCAGAGATGCCTGGTTCGCTCAACCGCAGAAATAATGTGTCTGACTGCAATACAACTTGTTACGCGTCGAGTCGTTCAGCTTACGGACAGCTAGCCTCCTACGCAGAAGCTTCGGAAGATTGCGTGACGAGACAGCCTCTGGCGTGTAGCGGGCTAACCAGTCGGACGTCATTAAACTCCTCCCAAGGTGCTTACTAAGGTGGCTCAAGACAGTTTCCAGCACTTAGATTTTGATGGACCACTGTAACCACTCTTTATAACTGGATGCTACCGAATCGTGGTGTCAAAAAACTGCCCAATCATTGGTGAACACTTTGTTATAATTTTCTTGACACAATAGCTGGTTTTCACATGACGTCACTAAAATTCAAACTACAAAACTATTGATCTTCCTGAGATTTT